AGCCTTCTCCTCGGGCTCCTCGGCCACTGCGTCCTGCAGCCTTGCCTGCCACCCACTGTGACCTGCGCCTCGCTCCCGCCACCCACCCCGGCTTAGGTGTCAGCACCTCAGTTTACGGGTGAGGCAGGCGAGGCCCAGGCTGTGGGCAGCCTGCTGCTCCCAGGGCCAGTGGCAGGGAGCTGGGCTTTGAACCTGGGGCTCCTCCGGTCCCCCAGGGAGAGAGCTCACCGGGGAGAGGTGGGACAAAGCTGTGTTTGCTCCTTGTGGTGGGGGTGGGGGTGGGGAAGGACCCTTTTGCATCTGGCTCCAGAGCCTCCGGCCCACAGGCCGCCTCCACTTTCTGCCTGGTTCGGGGTTCCAGCTGGTTGGCTCATCCGTCCCTGCCACCCCCGGTTGCGAGGGCTCAGACACCAATCCCGCCACCACGGCGTGGTGAGCAGGAGCTGGGCGGGTGACAGGCGTCTGGGAAGGCGTCCTGGGGGGGGGCGGCGGGCACACGTCCTGGGAGAGGAGGGGTGAGGACAGACGGCCTCCAGCAAAGACCGAGGGCTGCTGGGCCCGGCGGGGTGGAGGGGGGTGCAGAGGCTGGTGGGGGGGTGCTGGGTTCCGGGGCTCAAGGCTGGCTTCCTGTGGCCCCGCAAGTGTCCCCTCCGTGCCTGGCCGATGCTGGGAGGGCAGCGTCTGCTGAGGGGACAGCCTGGACGTGGGGCCCCTGTCCGCCAAGGACAACCCCCTACCCCCGTGACTCGTCCGTCCGTCCCCGAGCGCTGGGCCAGTCTGGGAGCAAGCCTGTGCTGCTGGGGTTTCGGCCGCAGTGCCCTGGTCGCCCCCGTGGGGTGCGGGGGTGGGCCGAGGGCACCCAGTGGGGCCTCTCCTCTGCTCCTCCTCGGGCCTGCCCCCCCACTTCCTCTTCCTGCAGCCACTGGGGCCCTTGCAGCGCCAGGGCCAGAGGCAGCCGGGCCGGGGTTCCTGCTGCCGGCGCTGCCTGGGGAGGAAGTGGGGCCCTGGGGCTGTGGCGCTGGGGCGGCCCCGGGGCGTGGGGGTGCTGGCTGCCGCAGCCCAGCCCGCTGTGCGGGGACAGGAGTTCCTGAGTGCCCCCCGAGGCCTGGCCCTGCCGCCCTCACGTGAGGCCCAAGCCCCCGAAGTCCACCTGGACGCCCCGTCAGCACTTGGCAGGGAGGGCAGGGGGGCAGCCCTGCCTCGCTGGTCGGGAAGCTCGGAGGGCTTCCCGGATGAAGAGGCGCCCCTGGGTCCTGCTGGCGGAGCGGAGGCTGCCGGAGCCTGCCCTGGGCCCCGACGGGGGAGGGCAGGGAGGGGTGGACGTTTCGGACATCGTGGGCTCCGTGGGCGTCAGCGCCGTGAGGACGAGAGGGCCAGTGTCGCTAGCTGTGTGACGTCGGGGAAGTGACTCACCCTCTCTGTGCCTCCGTTCCCACGTGCGTGTGACGGCAGCAGCAGTCGCACCCACCCGCAGGCCAGGGCAGGGCAGAGGGTTTGGGGAGCCACGGTGCCGGGCACACACACTCCTGTGTGTGTGTGTGTGCGTGCGTGCGTGCATCTCTGCCCGCTCTGTCTCAGGCCCGGGGGCTGCAGGGAGCTCAGAGCCCCCCGGCAGGGCTCCGGGGGAAGAGGTTCCTGCTCCTGGTTTCCGCTCCTGCCTCAGTGTGCCCGTGCCCCCCGAGTCCTCCCTGGGAGGCCACTACAGAGGACGCGGGGAGCCCCTGCCTGCAGCCCTGGGCTGGCCGGGTCGACAGGGACACAGTGGCAGCGGTGTGAGGGCCAGGGGGTCCCCTGCCCGGCCCGGCCCCTCCCAGAGGAAGGTCTCGCCTGCCCGTGTCTGCAGGGGCGCACGCTCACCCCCCACTTAAGTGGGGCCCCTCACCCCCAGCTCTGGAGCCATCAATGGGCCGCGAGGGCATCCCAGACACAGCAGAGGGGGCAGGGGCCCAACACAGACCTCGGCGGTCGAGCCTGCGAGTGGTAGGAACTGAAAACTGGCCTCGGCTGCCAGCGGCACCGCTTGTCCCGGGGGACTCAGACGGCGGGGGCCGCTGAGCTTCGGGCAGAGCCGGGCCTGGGGGTCTCGCACCCGCTCTCTGCGTGGGCTCCATCCTCGGGTGGGCCGTGTCCCTCCTCGTGGGCGTTCAGGTGTCTGCCGGGAGCATAGAGGGCGCCCCTTTCCCGTGGGTCAGCCGCTGCTGACCCGCAGAGGAGTCTCAGAGAGGTGATGCTGGGCACACGCCCTTCCTCACACCAGTCCCTGGGGCTCGGGGGGGGGGCTGCGGATGAGCCAGACCAGGAGGGACCTGGTCTCAGGACACGCGGCCCCTGAGCCAGGGGACCGAGACTGGGGGGGGTGACAGTGCCTACCAGAAGTAGGAGAGACCCTCGACCCCCGGGGGCCCCCCTTCTACAAAATGGGGCTATGCCCCCACCCGAGTTACCGTGAGGTACGACACACCTGAGGGACCTGAGACCACCACCCCTCCAGGCAGAGGGGCCTCGGCTCTCCCAGGTGCGGGTGTCTGAGCGGGGTGGGGGGAGGGAGGACGGGGAGGCGGGGCCTGAGGGGGAACTGCCAGCCTGGCCGCCCCTTGGCAGAGAGGCGCTGGGCTCCCCAGTGCTGGGCGGTGCAGGCTGAGGCTGCAGAGTTGGTGTTGCTGGGAGACATGGCAGAGGGGACCCTCTGTCCAGCCAGGCTCTCTGAGGGGCCCTCTAGCTGCTGCTGAGTTGGCAGCAGCAGGAGAGCTGGCTGTCAGGACAGAAGGGCCTGGAGACCTTCCCTAGCGGAGGGGGCCTCTGGGCTGAGTTTTGGGGGTCGGCTCCCCGGGAGGAGCCGTCTCTCGAGGAGTGACCAATGCAGGCTCCCCCCCCACCCCAGCCCTCCCCTGCTGAGGAGCGGGACAAGGTCCCCTGGGAGGCCCAGGGACCGTGCCCAGTGCTGTCATTGTCCACCTCCTGCCCCTCCTGCCGTTGCCCAGGAAGCGGCCCAATTAGACCCGGAGGGCGGCGTTGACCAGGCCTGTCCTCTCTGCACGCCCGGCTCCGCCTGGAGGGGCAGGCCGGCCTCGGGGGCTGAAGGGCGGTGCGGGCCGTGTGTGTCTGGGTGTCTGTGTGTCTGCGTGTGTGGTTTTCCCGGGAGAGCAGCTGCGGCAGGTGCCCAGCCCCCGCCCTGGTGTTTGGGGTTTCTCAGCCTGGCCGCCTGGACGCACCAGCTTTGGCGCCAGGCCTGGGGCAGGAGCAGTGCCCAGTCCGGAGCTGCTGCCGCTGCCGCCGCCGGGAGGAGCCCCGTGGGGAAACCACTCGGCTCACTGTGGCAGCGGGGCCGGCCCGGGCCCCCCTGGGGGCACCAGGGCGGGAGCTGGCAGACCTGGGGTGGAACTCCGGGTGCAGCTCTGGCTGCATGACCTGGGACCAGCCCCTCGGCCCCGCTGGGCTCAGATACATGTCTGTGGCATGGCCGTCACACTGTGGCCTTAGCGGGTTAGGAAGGGGGCAGCGGGGACGGCGTGGCGGTTCTGGGGGTGCCCCGGCCTGGGGGCGTCTCAGGGCGGGGGCCTCGTCCTGCCCGGCAGACCCCGCAGCGCAGGGCTGGCGCGGTGGTGGGCACCGGGAGGACGCCGCCCGTGGGGTGCAGACCGGCCGGTGTGGAGCGAGAGGCAGGTCGTCCCCCGGCGGACCGCGCCGCTCTGATGTCCAAGTCCACGTTGACAAGCTGCGTCCCGTGGACAGCCGCAGTTGGAGCTGGGCTGAGCGCCCCGGCCGCTGGGCCGCCCTCGGCCGGGCGCCCGGGGGAAACGGGTGCCGAGGCTCGTGGACCTGCCTGGGCCTGGAGGGAGCCAGGGCCCCAGCCCACCCCACCCCACTCCCCGCACCCCCCATTCATGTGGTTTTCCCATTTTGTTCCTGGGGTTCGTGGGCCTCAGTGGCAGGGGGGGGCGTGTGTCAGGAGCTGGACATCCGGCCCAGGCCTGTTCCCTCGACCCCAGGCCCCAGCTCCAGACCCTGTGTCTGCAGACTGGGAGCCCCGGGCACAGAGAGGCAGCCTGGCGCGCAGGCAGTGCCGGGGGCCGGGTCTGTGTGGAGTTTGGGGGGGATGGTGAAGTGGGGCCTGCCTGGGCCGAGCACCGCAGGCCTGGGGTCTGCTCCCCACTCTGTGACGAGGGGTCCGCCGGGTTCCGTCTCCGGGGTGCAGTTCCTTTTCTGTGAGGTGGGGCTTGCACACTCCTCCACTTCCTGTCGGTGGGCCTTGGTAAAGAGTGTGGCCGTGCGTGCAAAGGTAACGTGACACAGATACAAGGAGGGGGGGTCCTCTGGCTGAAGCGGGCGGGGGCCTGGGACTCGGGGCTCCCTAAGAAGCGGGGTCCTCACACCAGGGCCGTGGGGGCAGAGGAGGGCCTGCAGACCCGTCCACGGGCACGCTCGCCCACGGAGCACACGGGTGGCCCCTCGGACATGCTCTAGGAAGGGACAAGGCGGCTTCGGTGGCCGCTGCCGGGGTGGTCAGCGAGGCCCTTGGGGAAGGAGAGGAGGCTGGACCCCTGCCTCACACCGGAGTGCGAGCCGGACCCGGTAGCAGTGACAGTGACGGTGACACAGGCACAGAGCGCTTGGGCAGCCCTGTCCGGTGGACATTTCCGGGCGTCCAGTATAACAGCCACTGGTGGTGTGTGTGGTGTGTGGTCGCTGCGTGACGGGTGTGACGGAGGGGCCAAGTTCATCTCGTCTGAATCGACCTTCACTGTAAAGGGCCACGTGGGGCTGGTGACGACAGCGCCCCCTAGAGCAGTCCCAGGAAACTCGGGGCGAGCTTTGTGAGCACGGGGGGTGTGGAGCTTTGAACAGGACTCGGAGCCAGGTTCAGGTTCAGGTTCAGGTTCAGGCTGATAGCTCAGACCCGGGACTGTGAGGCCCCTTCCTGCCCTGCCCCGCTGTCCCCTGATGCCCTTCCCTGCCCCGGCCTGCCCAGGTCCAATCCGGGTCGCCTTGTGTGTCCGCAGAGCTGAGGAGCCCGAGTGTCTGGCCAGCCTGGCCCGGCTGCAAGGGGAGTTGACCGGAGCGCAGTGACCGCTGCCCGGCAGTGGAGCAGGCAGACCCTGCGGGGCCCATGGAGCTGCAGGCCGCGGGGGCCTTTCCCCAGCCTCGTCTGCCAGGCCTCGAGAGGCCAGGGGCCTAGGCCCGCAGATGCCCCCCGGGACGGGCGGTCTCCCGAGCGGACGGCCGGCCGGGGGCGCCGGGGCGGGAGCATGCCGGCCAAGGGGCGCTACTTCCTCAACGAGGGCGAGGAGGGCCTGGGCCGCGACGCCCTGTACGAGAAGTACCGCCTCACCAGCCAGCACGGCCCGCTGCTGCTCACGCTGCTCCTGGTGGCCGTGGTGGCCTGCGTCGCCCTCATCGTCATCGCCTTCAGCATCGGGGTGAGTGGGCGCGGCCCCCCGGGCAGCGGGGGCTTCTCGGGGAGGCCTCGGGCGGGTCTCCGCGTTTCTACCTCTGTGGCGTGCCCTGCCGGTGGCAGGCAGGGCTTTAACATTTTGAAACCTGTGGTGGTTTTATTTATTTTTTAAAAGATTTTATTTATTTATTTTTAGAGAGGGAAGGGAGGGAGAAAAAGAGAGAGACATCAACGTGTGGTTGCTGGGGGCCGTGGCCTGCAACCCAGGCATATGCCCTGACTGGGAATCGAACCTGCGACACTTTGGTTCGCAGCCTGGGCTCAATCTACTGAGCTACGCCAGCCAGGGCTAACCTGGGGTGGTTTTAGACAGGACATGCATTTGGCCAAATGGGCTGCCCTCACTTTTCTCCACTGTGAACTTGGATTCTCTTAAAGAGTGTGGTCAGGGGTGGCCCGTGGGTCACTGCCGCCCCGTCTGGTCCCTTGGCAGACATCGGGATTCCGTGCCAGCACCTCCTCACGGAGCCCGGCTGCGGTCCCGGAGTCCGTGGGGGACTCAGCTGCCCAGCTGCCACCACTGATCCCGTCTCTGGCCCTGCCCCGCCCTGGCCGCTGCCTACAGGCAGCCGCAGGGCACTTGACCTGTGGCTGCTGTGGCTGCGGCGCTGATTTCTAACTGACCTGGCGTCGTGGACACTTGACTTTCAGTGGCCACAGGAGGCTAGTGGCTGCTGGATGAACAGTAGCATCTGAGACAGAAGCACGAGGGTGCTGCTAAGGTGGAGGGTATGCCCGGCACTCAGTAGGTGCTCCATAAACCATGGGACATTCCAGCATTCAGCAAACAGTGCTTGAGTACCTACTGTGTGTGGGTGCCCCACTCAGCCTCTGTGTGCATGGAGCCGAGGGCCACGGGGGATACCAGCTGCTGTCCCCGCTGAGACCTGTCTTTCCTGCAGCCCCCCTCCACCCCAGGTGTCCTAGTCTGTGCCTTCGCTCCAGTTCTTCCCGTGTGGGGCGTCTGTGCCCGCCCTCTCCTCATTACCCCCTGCTGGTTCTTTCAGGAGCAGGGGCCTGCCCCCGCGGGTGCGCTCAGAGCGCCCGGGGGCCCAGGGAGGCCCGATGGTGGAGTGGGTGGGGAGTGAGCGAGGCAGGGCCAGGCTGTGTGGGCTGCCCGGGGCTGCGTGGGGGGGAGGGGGCCGGGGCAGGTGCCGGCGCAGGCAGCCCTGGCAGAGGCAACAGCACGGACCAAGCCTACAGGCGAGAAGGGCCCTGCTGTTTGGTGGGAACGCAGCCACTGCCCACGTGGAGGGAGCCCCAGGGGGCTGGGAGCTCAGGGCAGGCTGGAGAGGCCACCCTGGCGGGCTCTCTGGAGGAGGTGGCATTCCCACGCCCGTTTTCCCTGCCCAGGAGCCCTCCCAGCAGCCGGCCGTCCTGGGGACGGCGTTCCTGACGCTGGCCGTGTTCGTCGCGCTCTACGTGCTGGTGTACACCGAGTGCCTCGGCCGGCGGGGGCTCTGGGCCTCGGCACTGCTCACCTGGGCCTGCCTCGTGGCGCTGGGCTACGTGCTGGTGTTCGACTCGTGCAGGAAGGCGGCCTGCGCCTGGGAGCAGGTGACAGCGGGGCTGGGGGCACGTGCCCCGGGGGGCCGGGTGCCGGGCAGGGGGGGCGGCGGCGGGCAGACGGGGCGGGCGAGCTGACCCTGCCCAGCCCCCTGGTCGTCACCCCCCCCAGTGCGGAGGGAGGGCCGCAGACAGAGGGCGGCAGGCGGGGCTCCCCGGTCACGCCCGAGGGGGGCCCAGGGAGGCTCGGTCTCGGCCCAGACCGTAAATCAGCTCGTAGGAAATCAAGGGTCGAGTTGGCCGGTCTGGCCCAGAGGAAGGCTGCGACCTTTCCTGTCTCCTCTGGGCATCTGTCACCGAGTCTCCTCTGCAGGGGAGGGCGGGGCCTTCCTGAGGGCAGAGGGCACCCGGGCCTGGGCTGGCCGCCCTGGTGGGGCTCCGTCCGGGGCCGGGTCCTCGGCTGGGGGCGGTGAGGCCGGACCCCGCGCCTCACGTCCGGACGCTCTGCCCCAGGTGCCCTTCTTCCTGTTCGTGATCTTCGTGGCGTACACGCTGCTGCCCTTCAGCATGCAGGGGGCCGTGGCCGTGGGGGTGGTGTCCAGCGTCTCCCACCTCCTGGTGCTGGGCGTTCTGACGGGAGCCTTCTCATCCCCCAGCGTCGGGGTGGGGCTGCAGGTGAGGGGCTCCAGGTGGCCTGGGTGGGGGGGACAGGGGTGAGCGGGCCCCTAAAGCCTGGGGGTGGAGTGTGCAGGCCGACAGCCCCCGGGGCAGGCTTCCTCGGGAGGCCCCCCCTCACTGCCCCCAGAAGGCGCCTGGCCTGTGGTCTTTGCCGGTGCCTGGGAGGCTCGGCCCCTCCCCCATTCCCGGGTGCAGGGCCCTGTCCCTGGGGTCTCACTCTCAGGGCCCTGGCCTGACAGGGCTGGGGACGTCCCTGGACATTCTGCTTGTGTCTTTGAGTTTAGTGAGTGAAATTTGCACACCCTTAGCGGTGACTGACACGGGCTTCCCTCCTGACTGGGCCCGGTGTCTGCTCCGGGGGGTGGAGGCCAGGCAGCCGGGGGACGCTGCACCCCCCACGGCAGCCCATGGCGCTCCCTGGCGCTCTGTGAAGCGCCGTGCCGCTGCCTCCCCAGCAGCGACTGGCCCCCCCTGGTCTCGGGGGCCCAGCCCTCCGGACCAGCGAGTGCACGGTGGACGCCGTGTCGGGCCTGTGCCCTGGTCCTGCCGTCCCAGCGACTCCCTGCCTGGGCCTCAGTTTCCCTGCCTGCCCGGGGACGGGTGCCCCTCAGTGGGCTGGGGGTCAAGGCACGGGCAGGCGTGCCATCCCCGGCTCCCCAAGGGGACGGTGCCCCGGGGGCAGGGACCGGGCCCAACCTGAGCTGCCTCTGCCCGCCCGCCCGCCCGCAGCTGCTGGCCACCGCCATCGTCTTCCTGTGCGGGAACCTCTCGGGCGCCTTCCACAAGCACCAGATGCAGGACGCCGCCCGCGACCTCTTCACCTACACGGCCAAGTGCATCCAGATCCGGCGGAAGCTGCGCATCGAGAAGCGCCAGCAGGTGGGGGCCACGCCCCCCGCCCCACGCCTTTTCTCTGTGAACATCGGGCAGCGTGTGCAGGGGGCGCCTGGCGAGATGTGAATGCAGGCCTCACCCCAGGGCGCCGCTGGGGACGGGTGGGGTGGGGTGGGGTGGGGGACCGAGGCCAGCAGAGGTGGAAGGGGCAGGGGGCAGAGCCGGAAGGAAGGGCGTGCGGGCCAAGCCTGGGCCTTGACATTCCCCGGCCTGCCCCCCCCACCTGCCCCCCCGCCCGCCCCTGCCCCCCCGTGCCCAGGAGAACCTGCTGCTGTCTGTGCTCCCCGCCCACATCTCCATGGGCATGAAGCTGACCATCATCGAGCGGCTCAAGGAGTGCGGGGACCGCCACCACATGCCCGACAACAACTTCCACAGCCTCTACGTCAAGCGGCACCAGAACGTCAGGTGGGTGGGGAGGGCTCCTGGCGTCTCCCGGCATCTCCCGGGAAGGCCTCCCTCCCGCCCCTCTGGGCTGTGCGGGCCCCGAGCTCAGGCTTTGGGGCTGGGAGTTCTGGGGTGGAGGGTGCATCCCAGTCCCAGGCAGCCTTCACCTCCCTGAGCCTCAGTGTGCTCATCTGTAGAGTGGGAACCCTGCCGGGGGAGTGGGGGCCGCGAAGCACGAGGCAGCTCAGCCCGGAAGTCGGAGCGAGGGCGAACGCCCACCCGGGGGAGGAGAGGGCGGTTGCCGGGTGCCAGCACGCTCGCCCGCGAGAGCGCCGTCCAGCACCTGCGGCGGGGTTTGCCTCCACCGGAACCCTCCGGAACTCTGCGCGGCCGGAGCACCCCTCCTGTCCCCGGGAGGCTGCGGAGGAGTAGTGGGGGTGACTGGGGCTCCACCCGGCCCCCGTGTCCCATGGGGGCCGGCGCTGACCCTCCCGCTGCACCGCCCCCCCCCAGCATTCTCTACGCCGACATCGTGGGCTTCACGCGGTTGGCCAGCGACTGCTCCCCCAAAGAGCTGGTGGTAATGCTGAACGAACTCTTCGGCAAGTTTGACCAGATCGCCAAGGTGAGCCTGCCGGCCGTGCCGCTCCCCTCCCCTCTGCAGGCAGAGGGCAGTGGGCCTGTGCCCGGCCCTCTGGAACAGCAGGTACCCTGACCTGTGTCTGGGCGTCGGGCCCTCCCCTGACTTCCTGCTGCTGTCTAGGAAAGCCGCGTTCCTCCTCGGTCCGCTGGCCAGACGGCCTAGAGGTTAGCGTGGGCCAGATGGGGCTTTGCAGGGTGCAGCGGGCCCGGACTCAGGTGGGGTTGCTGGAGGGGGGTGTAGAAAGGGGACCGCTCAGAAAGGTGTGACAGGTACAGGGACCTGGATGGAGGGATGGTGTCCCCCCCAGTCATGGACGCAGGGCCGTCACCACCCGGTGTGGGAGGGAGCGGGCACTCGACCCGGAGACAGAGGAGACCTCGGCTGCAGGAGGGCAGCCGGCCCTGGGGGTCCCGCAGGAGAGCGGAGGCAGCAGTGCCCCAGCCCCCACCTCCTTCCCCGCCAGCACCAGGGGCGAAGCTGCTTGCGGAGGCCCCCGTGGGGGCTTACGGTGGGCAGAGCGTGCAGCACGGGGCTCCCTGTTTGTGTCCCCGAGAGCTCCACGCCCGGGGTCTTGGTGCGTGTGGCCACCTTTGCTGAGGGCTTGCAGAGAGTCTATTGACCACAGAAGCACCTCAGATGGGACGATGAGACAGCTGGTCTGGGCCTCCCCGCCCCCTTGCCTCCCTCTGTGGGCATTTTCCTACGTGACTCAGCCTCTCTCGCCCCCCCATTTCTGCTCTGCCCTCAGCCCACACCCCACACCCCACACCCCACACCCTGCCGCCCGAGCAGCACAGCCACCTGTGTCTTCCCCACCCACTCGATCCACGACCCACGTTAGCTGCACTGACTCCCGTGCGGCCTGGCTCTCTGGCCCCAGGGCCTTTGCCAATGCCGCTCCCTCCTTCCCCTGGAGCCCCCTTCCTCCGGACACTGCTGTGGCTCGCCCCTCGGTTTCCTAGGTCTTCGCTTCGACGTCCCCTTCTCCGCGAGGCATTCCCTGGCCTCCTGGGAACTCCCACTCCCCTCCCCGGCCTGATCTGCCCCCTCAGCCCTTGTCACCATTGGGTGTCTAAGATTTCGTCCGGCGTAGGGTCCGGTCCTGCCCACCAGTGTGTGAACCCCACAGCTGCAGGGAGTCTTGTCTCTGTTCACTGCTGCACCCCCGTGCCTGGGCTGGGCACTCAGTAGGTGCTCAAACATTGCAGGAATGAGGGAAACACAGGGAGCGCCGCCTCCAGGGGTGTTCGGGTGCCTGGTGCTTGGCATCCCCCCTGGAGGGCCCCCCGGGTCCCCCATCCTTTCGGCAGGCCCAGGAGCGGCTCCTGGTGGCTGGCACCCCAGGAGGGAGCCCCTGGCTGGGAAGCGGGGTGGCTGCCTGTGTGACCCCTGACCCCCGCTGACCTCGCCCCGCAGGCCAACGAGTGCATGCGCATCAAGATCCTGGGCGACTGCTACTACTGCGTGTCGGGCCTGCCCGTGTCGCTGCCCACGCACGCCCGCAACTGCGTGAAGATGGGGCTGGACATGTGTGAGGCCATCAAGTAGGTGCCGCGGGCGTGTCCCTGCCACGGAGGCCTCCCTCCCTCCGGCCTCCACACCCCTGGAGGGCCTCTGGGGTCCCCGCAGCCCCGCCCCCCTGACCTCAGGCAGCCCCGCCCCCAGGACATGTGGCGGTTGCAAGGGTCCCCCCCCTGCTCCTTCTGCCTTTGGCCCTGGCAGGCGTGTCTGTCCCCAGCCTTGTCGATGGACACGCGGCCCTGGCTGCGCCCCGATCGTCATTCTCTTCTCGGAGGGACCCCGGGGGCTGCTCCTGCTGGGGGCGCCCCATGCCCTGGGGAAAGACCTCACTTGGGCTCTTTGCCCTGAGTGGTGCCGCCAGCGCCTCACCCCCAGACCCCCCTGTGCCTGGAGAAGGCCCCCAAAGGCTGGCCCCTGCGTCCTTGGTGTCTGGGGGTTCGGAGGGGCCCCTGGGGCCCCAGCGACCTTCCCGAACCTAGTCAGGGCCTCCAGGTGGGGAACACCCAGAGGTGGCACTTCAGGGTCTTCGGTGCGTGAGCCACAGAGATTGGCGACACTTGGAATTGACTCCTCCTCCAGCCTCCGACCCTGGGGTGGCCACAGCCCTTTGCGCACTCCCGGAGACGGGGCGCTGAGTCCCTTCCAGGAGGCAGCCCCCCCCCCCCCCCCGGGGCCGAGGGCGTCCCTACACCCTCCCCCACCACCCCGCTCTGCCCCGCCCCACGCTGGGACCTCGGCCCGCCCTGGGTGGGGTTCACAGGGCCCCACGAGCAGCCCCGGCTGGGCCGAGGTGACCCCACCTCCCCCTCAGGCAGGTGCGGGAGGCCACGGGCGTGGACATCAGCATGCGCGTGGGCATCCACTCGGGGAACGTGCTGTGTGGCGTCATCGGGCTGCGCAAGTGGCAGTATGACGTGTGGTCCCACGACGTGTCCCTCGCCAACAGGATGGAGGCGGCCGGAGTCCCGGGGTGAGGCTGGCCGACCCCTCTGGGCTGGGGGGGTCACGGTGGGGTCGGAGGCGGAGGCAGTGACCTGGAGGCGTGGGGAGCCGGCCAGGGCCCCCGTCTGCTGGGCCCGGGCTGACCCGCGCCTCCCCAGCCGGGTGCACATCACGGAGGCGACGCTGAGCCACCTGGACAAGGCGTACGAGGTGGAGGACGGCCACGGACAGCAGCGGGACCCCTACCTGAAGGAGATGAACATCCGCACCTACCTGGTCATCGATCCCCGGGTACGGGGGCGCGGACGCAGCGGGTGGCGGCGGCGCCCACACCTGGGGGCGGGCCCCGGGGCGGGGAGAGTGGGGCAGAGGCCTGCCCAGGGTGGGAGTGAGCTCCCCGTCACCGGCTATGGCGCCAGCGTCCCCAGGGCCTCGGTGTTCATCCCCTGAGAAATGGGCGTGATAGCAGTGCCCCCTCAAGGGGAGACCGCTGGTCCGAGCGAAGCCCTCACCGCCGCCCCGGGGGCGCGTCCTAAACAGCTGGGGAAGAAGTCCCTATGAGGTCACTTTCCATGCGGTTGTCACTCATCTCCCAGTGTCCCAGAGACCCGTTTTAAAAACACCCTGAGTCCGACTCAGGACAGCAGGGGTGGCCGTGGGGCCACGGGGCCGCGGGCCGGTCCTCCCTGCGTCCTGGGCTCCGACCTGTGGCGTGGGCCTGCCCGGCCAGCGCCCCCGCTTTCATCACGACCCTGCGGTGGCGGAGGCCCCGGGCTGCTCCCAGCCCGCCCCGTGTCCACCCGGGGAGGCCAGCGCGTCCTGGAGCCGCCGGTGAATCATCCTTGGGGCTCGCTCAAGAATGCTGGCCACGCAGGCTCTCTGGGCTCCCGCGCACCCGGCCTCGGCCTTGGCCGTCCTCAGGGCTGGCCCGCCTGCCCCACCCCCACCCCCACCCCCCACCCCCCACCCCCACCCCCAGCCCCAGCCCCAGCCCCGAGCACCACGTGCTCAGTGACAGCGTCTCCTTTGGCGTGTAACTGGGTGCCGATACTGCTTCCGGCGCCCGGCCTCCCACCCCACCTCGTGGAACCTTCTTCATTCTCGTCGTTAAAACGCAAAAAGCCCAGAGAGCGTGTGGTGGAGATTTTTCCGTGGGCCTTGTCCACGGCCGGCACGTCCCCCTCGGTGATGGGGTCTGTGGTTTCTTGAGTCCCCACCCCAGGGATGTCTGACGAGAGGGGGACACGGACCGGTGGCCTGCCCCCACGCCAGGGCAGGTGCCCACTGCAGGGCGCCCACAGTGGCCGGCTCCCACGCCCTTCCCCCGGGCCGGGCAGACGGGACCCTCTCGGGGTCTAGCAGTGCTTCTATCCCCAAGGGAGGCCGGAAGTTTCCAGAGAAGTTGTGCTGTGGCTGCACGAGTTTGTGGGTGTGGGTGTTGGTGGGGACCCGAGGAGGCGGGGGGCTCCCGGGGTGCAGTAGTGTCAGGGGCTAGGGGGACGCCAGAGGGCCCAAGCTTGTTCCTGGTGGCCTCGGGGTCTTTCTCATCGCCCCCTTTTTCAGCCTTGCCCGGCCCCCCAGCCGGGGAAGGTCCGAGGTATGGTGCCCTTCGGGGCTGGGGCCCCGGGGGAGGAGGCAGGGCCGGGCCTGGCTAAGCCACCGCACCCGTGGCAGTGGCCATGGCGGATACGTGGCAGGTGATGGACCTGTGCTGTGGTTGGGGGCGCCGCACAGGTGGGAATGGCTAAAATGGTGCCCCAGAGGGTGAGGGGCGGCCCCTTGGTGGGGCGTCTTGCTGTCTCTCCGGGTTTCAGCCAGCACCCTGTGCCCCCCCAGCTGGTCCCCACAGGACATGCGCCGGCCACATGCGGGAGGGCGGGGCCAGATGCCTGTTGCTTCCTGGGGCCCATCTCCCTGGGGGCGCCTTCACGGGCAGGGGTCCCAAGGACAGGGCCTGGTTCCCAGGAGGGCAAATGGGGCCTTAGGGCTTAGGACCTGCTCCTACGTCTGTCTGTCCTCGGGGAGGCGGAGGCACAGGTGTGAGGGCTGTACAGGTGTGTGACCCGCCTACTTACGGAGTGCGGAGGGCGGGACCCCACACTGGGCACACCCCTCCAGCCTAGCCAAGGCGTGCGCTGGGCTTCAGCCAGGCCCCCGCGACGGCAGACGCAGGTGGGGCAGCCGGTGGGCCTCGCGCTCCGGGCCGTGTTGGGTGTCGGGGGTGGGAGGCGAGGTGGGAGACAGACTTTGTCTGTCGGAGCCTGTGTCAGACTCTGCCTCTGTTCTGTGCCGCAGAGCCAGCAGCCGCCCGCACCCAGCCAGCACCTCCCCAAACCCAAGGGGGACGCCGCCCTGAAGATGCGGGCGTCGCTGCGCATGACCCGCTACCTCGAGTCCTGGGGGGCCGCGCGGCCCTTCGCCCACCTCAACCACCGTGAGAGCGTCAGCAGCGGCGAGACCCCCGTCCCCAACAGCCGGAGGCTCAAGGTAGGGCCCGTCCTTCAGGGAGCTGGGTGCCGGATGCCCTTCAGAGGGGCGGCAGAGCCGGGGGTGCGCAGGGTCCTCCCGGCTGGCCTCGCTGTCCCCACCTGTGTGATAGGCCGGGTCTCTGCCCCCCATCCTGGGGGCATGAAGGCACGTGGGCAGTGCCCAGGGTGGCTGGGGCATCTCCATTCCCCCCAGTCCCCAGAGGAGCTCAGCTTTGGTTCAGGCCGCCCTGCCCGTGTGTCCGAGGTAGCAGACCCGGACCTGAGACGGACTCCTGGCCCTGAGCCCGGAGAGTGACGGTCTCTTCTCCTCCCTCCAGGCCATGCCCCTGCGGCGCCACCGGGCCCCCGACAGGTAGGTGTGCGGGCCCCTCCCCCATCAGTCCGTGACCTGCCTTTCTGGCCAAGTCCTGTCCCGGCCACCTCCTCCAGGCTGGCTGCTCTGACCAGCTTCTGGCGACAAGGGCAGCTCTGGGAGGCCTGGCCCTGACCACGGAGTTTGCCGTGGCCCGGGTCAGAGTGTTCTAGAAAAAGAACCGCATGGTGTTTGGGCGCCTGCAGCGTGCCCGCCCAGCGGCCGCATCTGTCGGAGGGGTTGGTGTGCCGGAGGCCCGGGAGGCGGGCGGCTCTGCTCCCGGTTTCCTGCCAGCCCTTGGCCGTCCTGCACGGGGCTCCACGCGGCCACCTCTGCGCAGGTGGGCTCAGGGCCCTGGGCTGACGCCTGTGGGTGTCTGGTTGCAGAGGTGCGTCCCCCAAGGGGCGGTCGGAGGACGACTCGGATGATGACGAGATGCTGTCAGCCATCGAGGGGCTCAGCTCCACGCGGTGAGGGGCCTAGACCTCTGCTTGCCCAGTCCCCGCAAGTGGGGGCTCCCCGTGTGGCCAGGCCCCCAGTGACCCTGCTTTAGTCCCCTCCGTGGGCACTATTTTCCCTCCCTTTCCCTCCCTGGTGCTGCCTCCTGAGGGTGGTGTCCCTCCCCTGCCCCCTCTCCCTCCCCTGCCCCCACACCTGCCACCCTGCAGGCCCTGCTGCTCGAAGTCCGATGACTTCCACACCTTTGGGTCCATCTTCCTGGAGAAGGGCTTCGAGCGAGAGGTGAGGGCCCTGGGTGGTCCCAGGGAGGGGGGCTCTAAGGCCTGGGGGTGGCACAGGGTGCAGGCCATGGGCAGCTGCACCCCCAGATCTGTTCGGGCAGGTGGTGGGGGCTGTGGGGCCCGGGTGGGCGGCAGGCTCTCAGGGCTGGGTTTGCTCCTTTGCACCTGGGCACCCTGTGGTCCAAGGCCGTGTGATGGGGCCGCATGCTGGGAGCGTGGGGGAGGGGGGGTGCAGGCAGCAGGGGGTCCCAGCCTTACTCCTCGGTCTGGGGTGAGGACGAGACCCCACACCCGCCCCAAGTCGCAGCAGCCCTGGAGCCCAGCTTTGGTTCCCGGCTACAGACTTGGGCCCTGGGCTCTCCGGGGCCTCAGGAATCAAGAGGGAGACCCGGGCAGGGTGTGTGTGCGGGAGGGGAGGTGTGGCCGCTAAAGACACAACAGGAGCAACTTGTCCGTTGGTGGTGATGGGACGGTGTCACTTGCGGTGCAGGGAACCTGTGAGGGTTCTTTAAGGTTTACTTGAGCCGCCCTGCCTACAGAGAAGGGGGGGGACAGTGGCCCTGCAGGGAGGGCCTTTGGGGGCCTAGGCACCACTCATGGTCTCTCGCCCCCAGTACCGCCTGGCGCCCATCCCCCGGGTCCGCCACTACTTCGCCTGCGCCAGCCTCATCTTCCTCTGCATCCTGCTGGTGCACGTCCTGCTGATGCCCAGGTGGGTTTGTTGGGGGGGGCCGCTGTGACTCGCCCGGCCGCCTCCGTCCCAGGACAGGACCAGTGTGGCGCCCCCTCGCCTGCGGGCACCAGCACCCAGGTTTTGCTTTAGTGGAATGTGTTCGCCCCGGAGCCGCAGGCCCCCCACTGCTGCCTGCACGGCCTGCAGGCGTGTGTGACCCCTGCCCCGGCCACCTGCCCTGCCCTCCTCACCCTCTTAGCCGGGGGAAACTGAGGCTCACCGGGGGGTGCACCCCACTGGGAAGCCTGCTTCTGCACCCAGGGCCCTCGGGGTGTGCTCACGGGTCGGGGGGCGGGGGGAGGTCAGCCGCTGGGCTCCAGGAGGACGGGGAGGGAGGCCCGGGCCCACGACCACCGTGGTTTGTTTAGGGTGGGTCGCCTAGACGAAACGGCGCTCACGTTTCCACGGCACCACACCCGGGTCTCGTCTCTCACACGCGTGACTCAGGAAGGGGGGCGGGAGGCTGCTGGCCGTGTTTCGGCTGGGCCCGTGTGCTGTTCGCGGGGCAGTCGGGCCGGGGTGCGAAGGGCCCCTTGGCTGGGGACGGGCAGCGGGTTGGGGGGGGGGCGGGAGGTGCCCGTGCCCCGGGACCTGGGGTTCCGGGAGGCTCGGCCCCGTGGGCGGTCCCCGGAGCTCAGGCCGCCCTCTCCTCTCCAGGACGGCGGCCCTGGGGGTGTCCTTTGGGCTGGTGGCCTGCGTGCTGGGGCTGGTGCTGGGCCTGTGCTTCGCCGACCAGTTCTTGGTGAGTGGGAGGCCCCGGGCGGGGCGCCTGCTTGGGCCCCACGGGTGGTGGGCGGGCTGTGGAGGGGCGAGCCGCTGCCTCCTGGGCCCTCCCTGGTGAGCTGAGCCCCCTGAGCCCCCCTGAGCCCCTGGTCTCAAGGGCAGTCGCTGAGCCTTCCTCCTGACGCTTCTCCTGAGAGTTCCGCCAGCGGCCCCCAGGGCGGGCCGCCCCTCCCGTCTGCACCCCGCCCCCCCGTCCTGGGCCGGAGCCGGCTGACAGGGCCCCCGTGGTCCCACAGAGGTGCTGCCCCGCCTGGGGGGTGCTCCGGGCCGTCTCCGAGAAGGTGGAGACCCACCCGCTGCTGCGCGTGCCCCTGGCCGTCCTGACCATCGGCAGCCTGCTCGCCGTGGCCGTCGTCACCCTGGTGCGTCCTGGGCGGGCGGAGGACCCCGTGCCCGCCTCCTGGGGGGGCGGGGGGCGAGCCGGCCCTGGCCCTGGGGCCCCTAGATCCCAGACCCCCAGAGTCTTGCTGGCTAAAAGCCACAGGTGGGGCGTCCCCCTCCAGCGCCCCTCAGCCGGGCTGGGGAGGTTCAGTGGCCGGGGAGAGCCTGGGGCCCCACTGAGGCCCCGAAGCGCGTGCCCTCGGCACCCCACCCTTCCTTCCCGGCCCCCCGAGGCACAAGCTTGGGGGGGGCACAGGGCCCCTGCCTCGGCCGAGATCACGTGCTCTGGGCCACGGGCTGCTCCCGCCGGCCCCCCGCCCCACATGTAGGGACAGCCAGGGTCTGTCCCCACACGGGACTCGGACCACCTCGCTCAGGGGCCCCTGCCGGCCTCAAGCTCAGGGTGGTGCCCGAGTGTCTGTCCCTGACACCCTTCTCTCCCCAGCCCTCCCCGCCATGGAGCAGACGGCTGCCGTGGGGAACTGGGGGCCCAGCAGCTCTGGGCCGGCACTGGCGGACACGCCTGTGCCGCTCCCAGGGCCCGTGGGCTTGGCCCTGGGCGGCCCGGCAGGTCCTGACCGCCCGTTCCGGGCCTGTCTCCGCAGCCATTGCTGCCTCCCCCGGCCCCGGGGCTGCCGGTGGTGAACCAGACGAGGGCCCTGGGCAGCGGGGACGGGACCCCGTGCGAGCTGCTCCCGGTGAGTGTGCCCACCCTGGGTGCCCAGGCTGCGCTGGGGACCACGGGGGTCTGGGCACGGGCACACCGGTCCAGGGCGTGTGAGTGGAAGTCCCCCCCCACGCTGGTGTGAGTGTCCTGATCCCCAGGCTCTGGGTGGCCGCTAGGGCTTCCATTTCAATGACCAGGAAGCGGCTTGGGAAGGTTGCCATCGGTCACCGGACCGGGCCCCCCAGCAGGGTGAAGGCCGTGGGACTCTGGGGGGGACGGCGGCAAACCCTGAGCCGCTCCCTGAAGGGCCGGAAGGGGACAGGGGGCGGGCAGGGCAGTGAGGAGAAGCGAGGGGTGTGGTGGGAGCGGGTTTCAGCGGTTGGGCGCAGGGCTGGGTCTGGGTGCTGGGGGCAGCGGGGCCCCACACGTGACCCGGAGCCCAGAGCAGTGCGGGCAGGGGTGCGTCCCGGAAGGGCGTGCTCGTGGCTGGACTCGTGGCCGGGAGGCTGTCAAGGCCAAGGCGTGTGCCCGGCCCTCCCTGCCCTTTGTCACGTCTCACACCCGGGCGTTTTATTGCACCGGTTTCCTTTAAACAAGCCCGCTTGCCCGAAGGGAAAGTGAAATCGCGGTGCGAACGACTCGGTGGCGGGAAGTTGGGGTGGCAGGTGGGGGACACGCGGGCTCTTCCGTGTCCCCGAGCCGCGCAGGCCGGCCCCAGAGGCGTCTCCCTCCTGGAGGAGGGAGGCGGGGGGTGACCCTGCCCCGTCTCCCCAGTATTACACCTGCAGCTGTGTCCTGGCCTTCGTCGCCTGCTCCGTCTTCCTGCGCATGAGCCTGGAGCTGAAGGTGCTGCTGCTGACGGTGGCCTTGGTGGCCTACCTGGTGCTCTTCCACGTCACCCAGTGCGCCCAGCGCGGCTGCTGCGGCCTCGGCCTGGGCGCCCTCGGCGAGACCAACACCACCCTCAGGTGGGGCCCGAGTCGCTCGCCGCGGGGGCCTACGGTAGCACCGGTCCCCCAGGAAGGGCTGGCGCGCGCCCCGTGCTGGGGAGTCTGGGCCCCTCCCGGCGGGAGAGGAGGGCCGGGCCCGGCCCGAATAGAAGGCTGGCGCGGGAGCCCAGCACAGAACCTGCCCGTGGGGGTCTGGCTGGCACCCGCCAACTCCTGCTGCTGTCGCTGCCTGGGGGGCTTTCTCTTCGGAGGGGCTGGTCCTCGCCACGCAGGTGTGAGCTCAGCTGTCACCTGGGGGAGTCCTCCCCACCACTACCCTGCCCCCAGCCCGTTAAGTTCTCTTGCGTCTTGTTTACCGTCTGCACCACGAGCGCTGAGGGCCTGTCTCTGTGGCTCTCCCCTGGGTGCAGGCGGTCCCCCTACCCCGCATGTGGGGCTGGGCAATGACCCTGCCCTCCCCTTCCCACCCAGTAGCCCCCCGGCCTGTGCGTGCAGGGACCTGAAGACCATGATCAGCTTCTACCTGGTTCTCTTCTACGCCACCCTCATCATGCTCTCCAGACAGGTGAGCCCGCAGGGCGCCCGCCGCGTCCCTCGCTCTGCTGAGCTCACCCGTCCTCCGTGTGTGTGTGTGTGTGTGTGTGTGTGTGGGGGGGTTGGGCTGCCCCCCCCCCGGAGCACAGCCCTGCGGGGAAGCCCTGCCCCCGGCCCACACCGCGTGCTCACGGGGGGCTGGGCCGCCGCCGCCGCCGCAGATCGACTACTACTGCCGCCTGGACTGCCTGTGGAAGAAGAAGTTCAAGAAGGAGCGCGAGGAGTTCGAGACCATGGAGAGTGTGAACCGCCTCCTCCTGGAGAACGTGCTGCCGGCCCACGTGGCGGCCCACTTCGTGGGAGACAAGCTGGACGAGGTGGGGTGGGGGGCTGGGCCGCGGGGGGGTGGAGGGGGGGGGTCACAGCCACAGGACTCAGACCTCCCCGTGGGCCTGGGTGGGTGGGACACCCCCCCCCACCGGGCCTCAGGTTCTGCGCCTGGAAACCACGACCCAGGCAGTCGCTGGGCGGGACGGCGCAGGGCTCCGGTGTGGCTGGCGCCCGTGATCTGGGCCACGAGTGACGAAGGCGTGTGTCGCCGCCAGTCCCCAGCAGCCGTGTCACGGAGGACCCGCCTCCTGACCGCTGCCTTCCCCCCGGGGGTTCCCAGCCCCGCGCCGCAGACTCAGGGTGCTTTAGAGCAAAAGGCCAGCCCGAGCCTGCCCCCCATGCCCCCCACCGACTCCGAGAGCCTCTCTGAAGGCCCCACCCCACAGAGGGATCCCTTCCGGGCCGCCAGGCTGAGGACCGCCCCGGGCCTCCCCAGGAGCCCCCTGGGCGAGTCCGGGTGGGCGCCCTGAGGCCTGTCCCCCCCGCCCCCAGGACTGGTACCATCAGTCCTATGACTGCGTCTGCGTCATGTTCGCCTCCGTGCCGGAGTTCAAGGTGTTCTACACAGAGTGCGACGTCAACAAGGAGGGGCTGGAGTGCCTGCGCCTGCTCAACGAGATCATCGCCGACTTCGACGAGGTGCGGCCCCCGCGGGTGGGCGGGTGGGCAGGCAGGGTGTCCTGCGCCCCAGTGGGCAAATGCCTGCTGCCCCCGGTGGCTTTTTGGTTGTTCTGGGTGAGCGGTCAGTCCCTCTGGGACAGGAGGCTGCCTGAGGGTTGCCGGGGGTCCTTGTGGAGCAGTGGCTTACAACCCAGCCTGCGCGGCCGACGGCCCTGAGCAGGTGGCTGCGGAGCAAGAGCCATGGAGAGCGGAAGGGACGGCCAGCCAGCCAGCCAGGGACGGGGGGTGGACGGGAGGCGCAGGGAGGGCTCCAGCCCCCGCAAGAACCTGGGGCAGGCCTGCCTGCTGCGGCTGTCACGGCCCTGCCCCCTCTGTCCCGCAGCTGCTGCTGAAGCCCAAGTTCAGCAGCGTGGAGAAGATCAAGACCATCGGCAGCACCTACATGGCGGCTGCCGGGCTCAGCGGGCCCTCCGGGCAGGAGAACCAGGTACTCGATCTGGGGGCCTGGAGTCCCAGCCCTCAGACCTGTCGTCTCAGCGAGGGTCCCTCCCAGGCCCTGACCTGTGTGTGGGGGGGCCATCAGCAGTGAGGGGGCAGGTCCCGGGCCCCCCGCAAGAGCCTCTGGCACGTCTCTGCGGGCGCAGCATCTCCTGCGGGCCTCGTGCCCACGGGGCGCGGCGGGTCGGGGCTCCCCGAGCGTCCACCGGGCCCGGTCGAGGCAGGAGGACGGGGGTGGCCTGCCGCGGCCCCGGGGACAGCGCTCTGTCCCGCAGGACCTGGAGCGGCAGCGCGCCCACATCGGCATCATGGTGGAGTTCAGCATCGCCCTGATGAGCAAGCTGGACGGCATCAACCGGCACTCCTTCAACTCCTTCCGCCTGCGCGTCGGTGAGGCCCCCGACAGGCTCTGCAGCCCCCCCGCCTCGGTTCAGTCGTGACCCATTCCCGCAGAAAGTGGGCAGCCCCCAGCGTGGGCTGACGGGCCCTGCTCAGAGCCCATGTGCTTTGTTAGATGAGCAGACGCCGGAGTGGTGGACGCGGCCCGGGCTCGGGCCGTGTGCCGCCAGGTCTGCGAAGCAGGCGCTGCGCCGGGCTTGGGGAGCCCGCCCCCGCCTTCCTCTAGCTGCTCTGTGGGTGCTTTCTGGGGTGGGCGGCGGAGTCTGTGCCGCCCCCCCCTGGGAAGCCTGAGGTGCGGTCCCCGAGACCTGACGGCTGGGAACGCCCCTCTAGGCATCAACCACGGGCCTGTGATCGCCGGCGTGATCGGGGCGCGGAAGCCCCAGTACGACATCTGGGGCAACACGGTCAACGTGGCCAGCAGGATGGAGAGCACCGGCGAGCTCGGGAAGATCCAGGTGAGCCCCCGGCCGGGGACGCGCGGCTGCGGAGGACGGGGCTTCTCGGGGGGGATGGCACCTGGGCCTTGGGCTACCGGGAGCCCGGCCGGCGGGTCCTGAGGGAACCCGGATGCACGCCCCCCCGCCCCCGCCGCGGGCGTTCTGCCAGCTTATGGAGGCTTCAGTTTCCTTCCAGGTGACGGAGGAGACGTGCACCATTCTCCAGGGGCTCGGCTACTCCTGCGAATGCCGAGGACTGATCAACGTCAAAGGCAAAGGGGAGCTGAGGACGTACTTCGTCTGCACGGACACCGCCAAGTTCCAGGGGCCCGGCCTGAACTGAGGGCCCGGGGGGCCAGGCACGATCGAGGCCGATGTCCTTCCTGAAAGCCAGCGGATGGGGGACTCGGCCCCACGCCGGTCACGGCCTTCCACGGCCTTGGCCACCACTACCTCCTGACAGACGGCCGTGTGCGGCTCCCTGCCCTTGCACGAGAGGACTTCTCAGACACGTGTGCCGGGGCCCCAGCTTGGGGGGACCACGGAGCCTCCTGATGCACAGCCGGGCGGACCCTCGGAGCTGCTGCTGTCGGGAACGCGACCTCCGGATGGCGGGACGAGGCTCCCTCGAGAGTTCCACGTCCTCCAGACCCTGCCCGCGCACACACCCTTGTGGCCGGGGAGCTGCAGGAGCGTCCCCTTTTCCAGGGGCAGGAGGACCAGGAACAGGGGTGTGGGCTGGCGAGGGGGCTGCAGCCCTGTGAGGGGCTCCCGGAGGAGAGTAGCCCAGCGCACACCGTGCTGCCTGCCGTCCGTGCCCGTCTTAGACGGATGCAGCCTTAACCGGGGCCTCACCCTTTCCACGGCCTCTGGGAGGCCAGTCAGTCGCCTCCCCTGCAGCGTGTCACCTGCCCTTCCGGTCGCCGGCAGGAAGCAGGCCGCCACCCCAGCTCTGTGGGATGTGGCGTGGCCCTCACGCCGGACCAGACCACTCGGAGTCTGGCAGTCCGAGGTCTGGTCTAGGGAGCAGCCTCTCGGCCCTCCTCTCGCCACCCATGCACGTCCAAGCTCTGCCTGCAGGCTCCCCGCGCCCCACCTCCACGCTGGGACGCCCTCCTGGCCTCCGGGCCGGGCGGTCGTGCTCAGTGAGGGCACGCAGGAGGCCCCCGCCCGGGCGGCTGGCCGGCCCCCTCTCGGATGCCGAGACCTCCTCGCTCTGACTGAAGGAATTGAGGCAGCTGCAAGAAGCCAGGTCTGTGAGCTTCAACTCTCACTCCAGAGAAGTCAGGTTAGGTTCTGAGGTGAGAACCAGCCAGCCCGCCTCACACAGGTGACTGTCCCCGTGCGGCACCCCCGGAGTTACAGCCGTGCACAAGGGCAGGCGGCTTCAGGTGACACAGGGTCGCAGGTGGGGCGGCTCGGCGTCGAGGGCCGCCTGGGGCTCGTCCTGAGCTGCGGGCGGGCGGGCTGGTGGTGGCACTGAGAGGGCACGTCTGGGCCCCGGAAAGCCGGCGCTCCGGGAAGGCCCCCCACCAGCAGGGCTCAGACGCGCCCCGGGGTGCCGGCCTGCTGCTCCTCTCGCAGTATGCGTGTCTGTTACTTTTTTCCAGCAGCCGAAATCCCGACCTCCCAACCCGGAGTTTAAAAAACAACTGGTTGCCATTATGTATCTTTCTTTATCCCCAGTTAAATTAAAGCACTGTGCTCAAGTAAGATTTTAAGTGTTCGATGTTCAGATCGAAGTCCATAACTGACCGTGAACGTTTTCCAAGCACCGACTCCTCTCTCCACGTGCCGTTGTGTTCTGTGCACGACAGGACAAGCACCTTTCCCTACCACCGGCCTTCCCACGGGCTGAGGACTGGCTTAACGGTTTCGACACAGGTACTCGAGTGGAAAGTCCCCGGCAGCTGCCGGGTTTCTTTGAGAACTTCCTGACGGGGAAAGGGGCCGCCGACGCGCGCGTGCAACGGTGACGACCGCAGAGGCCCGCGTGGGGAAGGGCATGCAGGCCAGGGGGGGTGCTGTGCACTGAGTACTTACAGATCTGTAGCCTTCGTTTCAAAAGACTTTCATTTTTATAAAGCACCGGTGTTCCTACTTGGTTTAGCTTTTCACGTATTAAATCGCCAGCATGGAAACACTGGGTGTCTGGACTTGAAACACTCTCCTGGCCTTCGGGACCTTAGCCCAGTGAAAGCAGACCTGAAGTTCAAGGGCCGACACTGCCCTGTCATCTCGGGGCGGGGGGGTGGGGGCGCTGCGGGCGGCCACGGGCAAAGCCGCAGCCCTCCTCACAGGGGCCACTGTCCGAGCAGCTCGCCAGACGGTCTGGGGCGTCGGGAGTGACCTGGCCTCTCTCACAGGGACTGCAGCGGATGCGGGAAACCGAGCTGCTCTCCCGCGTTCAGGAAAGGTCAAAGGGGATCTGAGCTGCTACGCACCGTCCAGCTTACAGTCCCAGGTTTAGCCTGGTCACCCCACAGAAGTCCAGTCTCTGGAATGTTCCAGTTAATTGTTCCAAAGTTTAATTAAAAACACAATTTACAAATATTCAGTATCTTGTGAAAAGCACTTCCAAGGTAAGGATGAAAAAATATGTACATAATATATAATCAAATACCAGTTAGCTTCCACTCCACTCGGGTCCACCCTCAGCAACAGCAGGCTTTTTCGCTCCTTCGAGATCTGAAACAGAGATACTCCCTTCAGCGCCTTGTCCCCCAGGAGACCAAAGGGCCATGAAGGGGGGCAGCGCTGATGGCCCCCCTCACCGGGGCCGGTGAGGACGGTGTGCATCCTCAGAGGCTCGCTGGGCCCTTTCTGCAGCGGCGGGAGACCTTCAGCTCTGTGGACACACCGGACGGGGGCCGAGAGCCGTCCACGCCCGACCACCGCCCCCGACACGGCCGGGCACGCACCTTCCGTCAGGTCCACCAGGCTGCCCCCCGCGACGGGGCAGGGGACAGAGATGCCCATGGCCTTCCGAACCCCGTACGTGCTGACGACGTCGCCTGGCGTCACTTGCTGTGCGAGCTCTTTAAGGTTGTTGGTCACCTGCTCAGCTGAAAGGAAGCAGATGAAAATGAATGCAGCTTCTTCAGGGACCAAGGGTGCAGATACCACGGCTCCAGCACCCCCTCTCCCCACTTGGTGCCCCTCCATCGGAGGGGCCGCCTACCGAGATGCAGCTCCCTGTAGGAGGGGCCCAGGAGGCAGATGGTGTTGGGGGGCGGCCTGGTGCTCAGGCGCTCGTTCTGGGCTTCCTGGAGCTCCCGGAGCAGCCTGGTGGTCTCGTCCAGCTTCCTCTGGAACACCTCGGCTTCTGGGGGGCACAAGGGCGCAAGGAAGCTCGCACACCTGCCGCTCCGTCCGCAGCGGCCCAGGCCTGTGGGCTTCAGGACGCACCAGTCGCCCCGCCCCGCCCCGCTGAGACCGCCACCGCAGACATGCCTGCTGTCCCTGCAGCCTGGCCAGGGGTCGCCAGCCCCGTGAGTCTGTCCGGCGGGGACAGCAGGCCCCGACTACCATGTCAGGTGGAACCCCTCCCAAGCCCTCCAGAGACACTCACCTTCAGAGTCAAAAACTTCAGCCGGAGCGCCAAAGCTGGCTACCGCTTCCAGCGCCGCGAGCCTGTCCTGGCTGCCGGCGTCCAGCCGCCCCGCCGGCTCCACCTCTGCGACCTGCTTTGGAGAGAGGAGGCCGGGTCGCTGGAGCCGGCCGGTCGGGCCTGAGAGCTCAGTCAGACGGCCTGTGTCCACAGGCCCTGCTGTTCCACCGGTTCACTTTGTGGCCACAACTCAGTGCCTATGAAAGTGTCCTTCCAGAACACCCGAGAAATGCCATCCCCAAAGCCCGGCAAAAAAGGCGTCCACGAATCCACCGTGCTCGTAAGGTGATGCATGGCGTGTCTCACCCAAGCTGCACCACCTGCTTCCCCACGCCAGCCACTTGGCATATGCGGTGACAGCGGCCTGGGGCAGCCGCCACTGTGACCAGGCCTCCCGTCCCCCAGGCCCACGCTCGCGTAGGCCCCTCCGGCCCCTGTCCCCCCTGCACGGAAGACCCTCCCCGGGCGTCCTCCGTGCCCCAGAGACGGGCTGTCAGTGCTGCGGGGCAGAAACAAGACCCAGGGAAGGGTGGAGTTTTAATTCTGGAACCGTAAGATCGTTTCCGTAACTTCAGTGCTGCTGCTTAGGAACAGACCACCAGGAACCAGAGCCAGCGGGCCCGCCAGACGCCGGCACTGCGCTCCGTCTCTCCGCCGGCACACGGGCCGCGGCGTGCGGCCCCCACCCTTCCGGCCCTTTTCCTCTGTCCTCAGCTCCCTCTCTCCCTCTCTCGTGCGTGCCCCTCCCCCACTGAGCACGCGACCTTGTGGGAAGGACACGGTTTTGTCACCGCCGCCTGCACCGTCTCCTCCGGCTCGCACGTCTTCGGGTGTTCTGTGCTCCCAGTGAAGGGCTTCCTTAGGCCCCAGGTCCTCCGTGTCCCCGTTTTCCCCACTCAGCTCCCCAACGTGTCTCCCTCCTGTCCCCTCAGGTTACTGACAGCCCTAAGGTCACAAGTGACAGGCACCAGCCTTCTGTTCCTACCTTAACTGCGGGTCTTCCCCGAGGCCCTGCCCTCTGCCCGCGCCCTGATCCCGTGCCCCCTCCCTCCCCCCCGACAGCCCCTCCCACACCGGAAACCAGCCAGCACTGCCACCCTGCTCCACGGGTGCTGGGCTCCGCATGGAGCTCTCCACCGCATGGCCTCAGTCTCTTCCTTCCTGTCCCTTATGCTGGGGTTTTTGTTTTTTTTTTGGCTTGGACAAGCCCCACGGCTCCTCACCGGCCCCTCCCTCCAGCCCTCTCTGGCACACACCATGGTGCCCTGTGCGCTGGGGGAGACCGTGACTTCTTAGGGCTGCACACGACCCTGGCACTCGGGCCTCCCCCCAGGTCCTGCGGGCACCCACTTTGGGAGCTCTGCCGTGCGAGGAGGCCCATCTGTGCACCCAGACCCAGGCCACTGGCACCGCCCGGGAGGGGATGTATCCTCAGCCTCCCAGCGCTGGTTCCCCAACCCAAGCCGCCACCTGCCTCCCGCGCCGGCCGCCACCACACTGTCGGCAGGGAGACAGCCCCCCGCCCCCGTCCCACTGGGTCCTCGGTGGTCTCCTTTCCCCGCTCCACCCTCCACTCTTAGCTTACTCTCCACTCAAATGTCTTTCAGAGAGAACAGTCAGTCACCTCTGCTTCCTTCGCTGTGTCAGGTGTCCTCGTCTGGCCGTCCTCTTCGGGCGGTGCCTGTGAGGGCAGAGACCACTCTGTGTTAGACGGTGCAGACAAAGGCAAGTGTCAAGGAAAGAAACAGCCAGAGTCTCACGGCAAGAGAAAAGGAGTAAGAACATGGATTATGGGAACATAATCTTCAGAGCAAAAAAATCAGATACAGTTACTGGCATTTTGAGAGTGCGAGGCGAGCGCGCCCACTGCTAACGACCTCACGGTGGGGGACAGCCTGCCGCTGCCCGGCTCAGAGGCCGCCCTCCGCAGCCCGAGCGCCCAGAGAAAGGCGGTCCGCTCTCCCGGCAGGCCACTCCCAGGGGGCGCGCGCAGGGGCTCCGGGCCGCCCCCGGGGACAGAGGCGCGCGCCCGGACGGGGAACGCCGCCGTCCCCAGCCAGGCCCCGGCCGCAGGGACCAGGCAGACACGGGACGGGCGGCTGCGGTGCGCTCCCGAGCCAGGAGCGGCATCCTCTCGTGTGGAAAGGGGGCGCTGTGACTCACTTAACTGAGCCCCAACGTTCACATCCTTAGAGGTGACTTACTTCCCAGAGTGGACTCTGAGGACCCCTGTTAGTTAGGTCGGAGAGAGGAGGACGTGTAAGCGTGACACACGTCGCTGCGCTGGCCAAACGAACGCTACGCGGCTTGCGCACGAGCCCCTTGGCCCCTGGGGGAGCTGATGGGCGGGCGCGGCGAGAACGCCGTCAGACCCAGCGTGGGACGCGGCTCCTGCGCACGTGCCCGCAGCGGTGCTGGCGGGGCCCACGGGGCTGCCCCCGCTCCGCTGGCAGGCGCAGCAAGGGCAGAGGACGAGGTGACTCCAGCCACGGCCACCAGGAAGTCACGACCCCTGTGAGACGCAGGGTCCTCTGGGCTGACGGGGACAGGCTGGAGACCAGCTCCCCTCGCCGGCAGGGGGAACATCTCGCCGTCCCGACCTTGGAGCCCAGCCTCCAGCGCACCCCCGACTGGGGACTCTGTCTGTCCCACTGGGCTGGGGCGGGCTCCCAAGTGCCACTGGAAGACAGTGATGAGGACGCAAACCCCGCTTCCGTGTCCTCGGGCCCAGGCCCAGGGGATGGCGACAGTCCCTGGGCCTCGGGTGCTGGTGCCCGCACTGCCCGTTTCCGTTCACTGTCCCCCGCCCACGGCCCCGGCCCTGCCTGGGCCATCTCCTCGGGACACCCACCGGGGCTCAGCGGCCACACCAGTCAGTCCCGAGGTTGCACAACACTGCGTGAGTGACGCTCGAGCGCTGACGATAAACGACCCTGTTTCTTCAGAAGCATTCTTACCGCCTCCAGCTCCTGCAGGGCTCTGGAATGGCCTCCTTTAGTTAAAACATCCAGTAAGCTGTCTGCCATGACGTACGGGTAATCTTGGCATGTGGCCAGAAACTCGTGGACACTAAAGAGAGAGTGGGGAAAGTCAGCGGTGTCCA